CCCCAAAACCCCAAAACCCCAAAACCCCAAAACCCCAAAACCCCAAAACCCCTGATTTGGGATAATCTATTGACACTCTTTTTACCAAATTTAATTCATATTCAACAGCATATTTTGAGGATTCTCAATTAGCTTTCTGATATCCTCTGAAAATCTTGCACATGTTGCTCCATCGATAACTCTGTGATCTCAAGAGAAGCTGAAGTTGATTGCATCAATTGGTTCCCATTGGTGAGCCCCGTTGACTTCTCCAAGGTATCTTGGCTTTTTAGTAGCCTTCCCGATGGCTACAATTGCTCCCTGGGGTCTGAGGATAGTGGGGACGAAGTAGGTACCTCCCAAATTTCCGACACTAGAGACAGAGAAAGTTCCATTGGCATAATCTTCTCTGGTTAGTTTTCCTGCATAAGCTTTGTCACGAAGTTCCAGAATGTTTTCGTTGATTTCGAGAATCGATTTGTTCTGGACTTTATGCAAAATTGGTACTACAAGACCATTTGGAGAATCAATAGCGACTGCGATGTTGTGGTCATGCTTAATTATGTATTCTTTAATATATCCATCTTCATCAGTCTCTGGATTTACATTGATGTTCATCCCTGGACTGTTTCTCATGCTTAAAGAGATTGCTTTAATGAAGAATGGAAGCATAGTAAGCTTCTCGTTGGTCTTCTTAAGTTCTTTCCTCAATTTTATCAACTGAGTAGCATCATATTCATCTTGATATGTGAAGAATGGGATATCTAAAGACTCAGTCATTGTTTTAACCATTCCTTTAGTAATTCCTCCAATTTTCTTTACTTGATCATCCTCTGTGATACCAGTAAGAGGAGGTTGTTGTGGGACAAATCTACCTCCACTTGGTAGAGAAGCTGGCTTGTTAATAAATGCGTCAATATCTTCATTTGTGACCCTACCATCTTTTCCTGAGCCAACCACCTGAGTAATATCAACTCCTTTAGTTTTGGCATAATTCCTTGTTACAGGAGTGGCAAGGACCTTACCACCTACGGCATCAATCTTCTGAGCTACTTGTGTAGAATCTGCGGGAGTTGCTGCTGCTGATGCTTCATCAGAGGAATAGTCTTCTTCTGAAGTTTCTTGAGAAATATCTACTGTGCTCACTTCATCCCCTTCCAAAATTTCAACATCCGCTAATGTACTTCCTACCTGGCATATTTCATCATCTTTGTAGTAGATCTTTTTGAGGACACCTCTATGAGTGCTTGGGATCTGGGCAACGAGCTTATCTGTGAAGACTTCACAGATTTCTTCAAATTCATCTATTTCTTGACCTTTCTTGACGAACCACTCCTTAATTGTAGCTTCTTTTGTACCCTCACCGAGATCAGGAAGCTGGATCTGGATAATCTGTCCGAAATATCTAGCTAAAGCAGCGTTGGAATAGAGAGCAGGAGAGACAGTGGTCTTGTACATGGTTCTAGCCATGCCCAAAGCCTGTCTATGTCTTAGTACTGAGAACATTTTTAATTAATAAGATTTGATCCAATTTATTATATGCTGACAGGGGTTTTGGGGTTTTGGGGTTTTGGGGTTTTGGGGTTTTGGGG